TTTTAAAGAGTTATGCGTATACATGTCTTTTAGCACTTGAGTTGTTTTAGCAACAGCAAGCACGAATATGATGCTGGAAGCAGACCCATTTCTTGGAAAATTAAACTCAGATACAGGTTCCTCCAGTTTACAGCTCAGCCTCTTCAGCTGTCTGCAGAACGATTCATCTAAAATTGGCCTCTCCATGTAGGTTTGACCCATGTGAAGTCTCATTCCACCCATGCTGGTGGGCAGAACTGTGCAGGCTGTGGAGCTCTACACAGGAAATCCCAGGAAGGGCACAGGCCGATTTTTATACCTGTCCCCTTTCCAACAGGAGGCCAGATCTTATCTCTCCTGAAAAAGCATAAAAAGGGTACAGTGCCTATGCTTCTCATTAATTTTGCCATTTTTTAGCATGGCTAAAGTGTGGAGAGATCCCTAATCTTGTGACATGCAGATCTCAAACAGGATCTCTTGGTTTGTAGCTCAAGACCTTCATGTGGAGACTCAGAAGATGCCAGATTTTGGTCCTTTATTTACCTTCCTTGTCTCTATTTTCAGTCATCAGCTATCAGCGGAGGAAGAATCAGGTTGTAAGATGACAGAACATCGGAAAAAACTTGACTGGATATACCCATTTTCTCTTTTACAAGCAAATCTTTCAGGCTTATTAACTGTAGACAACCGAATTTAAAGAAAATAATATAATAATAGGTAGAAATTACAATGTTTGTCTGTCTTTTGACTATGAAGGTATGTAAAGTGAACAGATTACTTCTGCTTTATTTTGCCACAAAAAGTGATGGACCTTCCCTGGATACAAAAGGATAGAAAGGTCTTTCTAAAAACCCACATATGTAACAATTTGCAATGACTGCTGCATAAAATGACATTGTGTCTGGTTCATCAGGAGTTGTACCTTTGAGTGACAGGAAGAATATATCTAGACATGTAGCTGGGAAGTTAGATAATGATGATGACATTATAAAATGAGAAATCAAAACATCAGGGAGATATTGGAGAAAAAGGCATAGTAACTTGGTGATTTTGTAAAGAGAATAGAGACTAGAAGAAGTTTATACAGGAAATGGGAACAAAGTTTTTAAAAGAAACGTATTTGCGAAAAGATGTATGAAGGCAGAAGGTGAAAAGAAAGGGGAAGTTTATAACCGTCAGAAACAGGATCTGACAGCTCTGAGGAAGAAACTATAGTAAATAACAGAGTAGCAGTTAACAAAAGGAGCAAATGCAAAGGTAATAAACACATAATAGGGCAGTTAAAGAGATGGATCCCCTGAAATATTGAGGGGAAAAGAGAATTTTCTTGAGGCATGTCAGATTGACAAATACTTCCTGAAGACAATGACACCTTTAACTAAAAATCACAGGAAATAGTACCTTTCATCTGCTAGCAGTTCTTGTATGCTACCAAGTAAGTTACAAATAAATAAACCCACATCAGCAAACATTATTTCATGCTAAATAAACCCCAAACCCCATCAATCTTTAAGACAGTAAAGAAAAGATGAGCTTAACATATCTTTTGGTTTTTTTGCACTTGAAATTGTACTCATTTTACTAACACGGCAAAAAGAAACAGTTTTGGATTTTGATATATTTTAGTTGGAATTCAGTTTTAACATCGTATATTTTACAGTTCAGGTAATAATCCAAACCTAAAAAAATCAGACTCTCAAGGCTCATTACAATAAACTTTTGACCAATATTCTTATCTCACCCCTCTTTTATGTTAGGCTCAGAAAGGAGTGAAAAAGATCTTCCATGCATGCCTACCTTTACACAGCTAAAGATGTTTCAGGTCACATGGTGAAATGCAATAGGCAAAGCCCAGGAAACAACATGCTGAATGACACACAGTGGAGGAATTATCTCTGACTTTGCAGAACACAGCAACTTCAAAAGCATTTTAATAATCTGAGGGATCCAAAAGGTTCTCTGGAACCTTGTAAGGCTGTATTGAAACCTGGACTAAGATGGAATTATAGGATGCTTTAATGAGCATTAAGATGCAAAAGACATACTATTGAATTTGAATGTGTCCTGACTGGTGTAGATGTTTTACTAGTAATTAGTAATAAAGGTGTTCTATAACAATATTTCCCTTATCAGAAAAAACAAACTCTTATCTGTTATGTATAGGAACATCTCTCAAAGCTAGTCTGATATGAAGAAAAATGAGATATGTTGATGACCAAACCAAGAAATTTTGAATAATATTTCTCTTTATCATATATTAATATTTTATTTTCAGCTTAGAATTGTGAATCGGGTTTTCCGGATAACACTGTGACTCATTTCATATAGAGTAAGAGGTACAATAAATTAAGTGCATGTTTTACAGTAATATGTAAGAGAAAGATGTGACTTATTTTAAGTAAAATGAGCAACTGAAAAGCAGAAGGGAAGTAAATGGCTTTTTTAATTCACAAAACCCTCAGTTTACTGTATTAGTGTCAAAATAATGCATGGTCTATCTACCAATTATATGGGAAAATACTCTGCATTTGACTTGAGATCATTACATCCAGCCGGAGCTTTGATACTACTGTGCATGTGCTGAGCTGTCCTTGTAAAGGCTCTGGATACAGTCTTCTAGGAGGCAAGTTCTTACTCTAACCTGAGGATTATCAGGAAGCTTCAGCTATTTGGACCATTTCAGATACCAGGACTTGTTTACGTTTAACAAAAGGCACTAAGTAAATTACTTTGAAAAATCAGCAATCCGACCCACAGAAGAGAGGGAAATTGTCATTAAGATTTTTAGAAAAGGAGATACACTTTGAACTGCTGAGAAAGAAGGTACACTTACATTGCACTTTGTACAGCCTTGGAGTCTAAGTGTTAAAAAACTCTGCATACTGAATAATCATCCATAAAATGCAATTAACTATTGCAACATATATTGAATGATCACCCAATGAACAACAGACAACATTGCTAGACAGAGAAGGTGTATGAGAATTTTATATCAAATAGGCTATACAAGTAAATGTTAGAAATGTTAGAAAATTAAGTGAAGAATCTGGCATTTTATCTGCAAGTAATTTGTAAAATAAATTTTGTAAACCAAAATGTTTTTGTCTTTACAACAAGAAGTATGTGGATGAAAAAGTTTTGACTCATTAAATCACAGACGGAGTGCCCATGAAGAGTTTTAAAGATAAAAGATTTGAAAGTTGACATGAAATATTTTAAGTCTTTCTAAATGAAAGGAGAGATTTTCCATCCTGTGAGATTTATTATAGTGATGCTTACAACTGTTTTGAATGCATTGAAATGAATGTTTCAGTACATTGTTATTGGTACAATTTCTGATTACGTGACAGACATGACATTATAATTTTTACTGACTTTTCAGGGCTTTGCACAGTATTCTGTACTCTTCTATGGTTATTACAATAACCAGAGGACAATTGGATGGCTCAAGTTCAGGATGCCTCTTTCGTATTTCCTTGTTGGAGTTGGGACTATTGGCTACAGCTTTATGATTGTCATTCGAACGTAAGTTCTCCTCAGCTCTGGAATAAAGTACATTCAAAAAAGCGGATAATTCTACTGTTGACCACTGAGACTATCTTTTTAAAAATGTAGTAATTGTAAGGGTAGGACAATGCAAGATCAAGTGCAAGGTCAAAGTCATGTAAGATTCCTTCAGCCTGTATTTATTTATCTATTGTTCTGCACCAGCAGCTGTGTTGCAGTGTTGTGGAAGTGGGAAAAAATCTTTACTGAAATAACAAAACACTTCCCTTCTGCAACTTCAAAATGAAAAATGAATGCATCAAGTAAGGAACAGAGCTGTCAGCCCATCTTTTGATTATACTCTGCATCTAGCAGAATGTCAGCTAACATCCAGGAAATTCCATTGTTCTACCTTTAATGATACCTTATGTGAGTTAAATTCTTTTATGAAGGAAGAGGACAAGAAAGAAACAAACATACGGCAAATAATTCTGTGTGTAACTCAGCCGTAAAGTCAGCAGTAAGTCAGCAGTAAATGATTCTCAGCAAGACTATAGTGCACAGTAGTGTAGAAGAATTAATGCTACTGGCCATAGTAAGAGGTTAACGTTCTGTGGAATGCAAAATAATTTCCAGCAGTGTGAAAACTATGCTTAATATAATGTTAAGAACATAATGTTAAAACAGTAGAAAGCATAGGGGCAAGTGAAACAGGGTCTAGGTGGTACAACTGGGGATATATTAAGCTTTTGGCTCTCAAATTCTGGACTTGGATTTTGTCTTAGGATCAGAATATAAATGAAATAAAATTATTATTTTATAGCCAAATTCACTGTTGGAATAAACTGTAATAATTCTGATAGTTTCTAAGGAGATAGGCCACCAATGAATATTATCTTTAATACTCTTGGTTCAAGGAACGTGACTACCAACCACAATATTACAGTTAGCTATAGTGGTGGCTTTAAAAGATGCCTACGGTGAAAAGAATCAGAGCATTGCAGGTCAAGATTCAAGGGCACCTGTGAATATAGAGAAAACTGCAGTTAATCTGTTTCCACTATTTTGTGCTGAAGTCAGTATTTTTCACTTGCATGAACACTAGGTTAATTCATGTTCTGTTTTTCAAATATTACATGGTTTCCTGCATAGGGCAAAAAGCATTTTGGAAGAAAAATAAAAGTCTTCACTTACAAATATGTATTTTTGGAGGACGAACAAACTACTGCAATAAAAAAGTAATTGGTTTAGCTCAAAAATATATTTTAAAATATTTTTTGATAATGTAGCTGTGAAGATTTGAAAAGTCTTGGTCTCAGACTATTGTGTTTCAATGACTGTCACCCAGACCCCCCCCAAAAAATTCCTTCTAGCAGAAAATCCTTGTGGCCTAAACAAAGGAATATCCCTGAGGAAAAAATACATTGTACATGTTAACTTCCCATCTGGCCACGTGACACTAGTGCCAATCAATACTTACATAATCTGATGAGCAGTTCTTTCAGTCTTCTGCTCTTTGTTGTTTCTCAAGAAAAAAACACAGTGGGCACAGAAACTAAAAGCAGTGCAACAGGAGGTGCTACCGTTTTTCTGCTGTTGACTGAGAACTGGGAAAGGGAATGTCTATGTGAAAGAGGTAGTAGGGATTATAAGCACTATTATTCTATTTAGGGGAAATATTTAGATTTAGGGCTCCTCTCTGCAGCTCTTCCAGTGCATAACAAAATGGAAACATTTCTGGTGTCAAAGAAATGATAACCCAACCACAAGATTGTTCACTATTTCATTAGGAACCCTTGAGAAGGAATTATGTTAGTCTAGAAACCAGTAGCAGGGCAGATCCTACCAAGAACTTTTTGTGATCTCTCTCCTTTCTGTATATGAGCAGTAAAACAAAAGAAACAACCCTGATATTGGTTTATGACAGCTCAGAATGATTTTTCTGTATTATTTACTTACTATTATCTTCCTAGATTTGAGAATATGTACTTTACTGGATTGTTAAAAATGTGATATGTAGAATGTATTGATATTAATAACATAACTCGGCTGCATTAGTGACCTTTCAAATAAGTGTTACCTTTTCCTGACCAGGAAATCAATACAATACTGAAGGCTAAGTGGTTTATACCCTACCAATATATTCAATCCTTATGATTAATGGCTTGAAATAAGTGATAAAGTATACAGAAGTAAGACCACTGTTATTACATGAATGACAACACTTTGAAACAGAGAAGTTAGTAGTCAAGATTAAGTCAAATCACTGAAAAAATAATTTGAGGTTTCTGTATACTGTTATAAATCTTGTTTACAAGTGCATATGAGATGAAAGGGAAGACAGAAAGCTGTATTAGTGATACCTTTGTATGGCATAACCAGGTATTGTTCTGGCTTGTTATTTTAGAATTCTTTTGTTCTCTTTGTGAAGTCTCTAATAAATCCATTGAAGTTCAGGATGCTCTGCAGCTTTCTATTTGAGAGATCTTCTTGATATTGTTTTCCTATTGAGTTTCTTATCCAGCAGAGTTTCTCTGAGGTGTTAATGAAATAAATCCATTCTTTCTCGTCAAAATGTGTGTTGTGAGCTCATAAATTGTCTAAATATGAAAATCACCATCCTTTCTTGTTTCAGACTGAACTTTCCAGATTTAGTATAACACATCTGACTGCAGTAATAATATTTTTTCTTTTCAGAACAATGTTAGAATTTAGGAACAATTTGGAAATCATGTTCACATAGCAGAACTAGTTCTAATAAGGTCCTCCTTTGTCTTTCTGGCTTTTGTAGCATGGCAAGGAATGCAAATGAAGAAGGTGGTGGGGATGATACTAGTTTTAATTTCAGCTGGAAAATGTTCACAAGCTGGGACTACCTGATTGGCAATCCTGAGACAGCAGACAATAAGTTTGCCTCCATCACAACAAGCTTTAAGGTAAAATAGAGCTCACTAAGGAGAGGTAACCTGATTTGTCTTTCACACTGGTGTGAATCAGATGGAACTAAGGTCAAGTATTAGCTGTGCCTGAGGCCTAGAAACTTAAACTAGAATTGGCAGCTCTATACCCTTCTGAGTCTGGGTCTTTGTGCTTTGCCATCTTAACTTTTTCCTTTTGATTGTGGAAGAAAAAGCATTAATGGCATCTTTTGTGTCCTCTGTGACTGCAGTACTAGTTTTAGAAAAATGATTCTACTGTAAAAATAATCTTTTCCTTTTTCTCATCTCTGTTGGCCTCCACTTTCTATGGTGCTTGTCTGAAAAACTTTTTTTTAAAATGCTGGTGATATTTTGCCAACCTCACATTATCATCTTCTCTTGCTACACTGAAGAGATACCATAAGAAAAAACATTAGGATTCTCTATAAAGGGGTGTTCATCATGTCAGAAGAATTGGCCTCAGAATTTTGAGTGTATACTTGCTTTTCGGTAAGAAAAAAAGGTTACTTTCCTTGCTTAATATAAAGTTTTTATTTTTTCATTAATTGTGAAATATAACCCAGTTTGCAGGACAATACAAGGTGTTCTTAATTCTCTTTTCAGTTTATAGGGTACGTTGGTTTCAAGAGTTATTGTGCGAGGAATCTGAGGCAGGATGTAAGATGCACTGCTGTGAAAACAGTGAAGGGGATATATTTTATCTGTTGAATGTTAAAGAAAGTGTTTCTGCACTGGGGTCACTCGGACACACCAGTGCAGCATGTAAAGGAAAATTTAATTTTCAATGTAATAATGTACAGGGAATACACCGGCAAGTTGTTCCCAGGTAATAAAGAAGATGCTAGGCTTACAGCCACATTGACAACCTACAGCATGGGAGCTGGAGGATCAAACACTAGCTGCACTATCCAATCACACACAACACCCTTCCTTTCTGCAGTGGTGATATAGCTGATAAACCACCTCACCCTGCCCACCCTTCCAACTGTAGGCATTAAAGATAATTGCACTCAAAGTCAGTAGAAAGAAAAGGTCCCAGGAAAACAAATATTGAAGAAACACTGTCTCAAAGCACTGAGACTGTGTGAGCTTTCCCTGCTTGCCTACTAAAGCCAGTTGCTGAAAGCTATTTGAAGGAGAATTCAAATCAGTTGAGACAGAGACTTAATTTTGAGAAATAAACTCATGAAGCTTTGCTGTGATCTTTGCAAATGAGCAAGGAACCTCAGAGAGAAAGGGTGAGGTCTTGGCTTGGGTGAGGTCTTGGCTTGGGTGAGGTCGTGGGAGTTTTGCTCAAGTGCTCCTGCAATCTCCTTTCATTTATGTAACAAACACAAGTCATAAGAAAAGCAGAGCCATGAAAAGTAATTATGACAATGCAGGAGTTCAGCTTCCCCTCTGGGCAACTGATGTCCATACCAAAGTGAGAAGCTGTAACCAAACTCCCTTTTCACAAGGACACTTCAGAGCAAAAGCTCCTTCTGCTGGCAAAAGTAGGAGCTGGACATTAAGACCAGAGTCTTAATATTTATCAGTCCTGGCCAAGGGTAAATGTGGGGCCAAAGTTTTATTCTGCAGTCTGAAGCTGTGCACTGTTTGTTTTTTTTTTTTTGGATTCCTACATCTAAACTCTCTTTTCATTCTTTCTGAATTGCTGGCTTTCAGAATAAAACTTTTTGCTCTTTTCTCACAAATGCACATTTTTAAAGTGTGACAGTTCCTTTTCTGGCAGCTAATCACATTTACCATGCTGGGTCACTCAGCCTCATAGCACCTCACAAGCTGACAGAACATGCTGGTTTCTTTTTGGCACAGGAGTGCAAGTGTAATGAGACTCGGTGGGGACACACTCAACAAAGGCAAAGTGAACTCTAGGGAGCCAAAACCCCAGGGTCCACCAGGGTCCAAAACAGTTTTTATGAGGCACTATAACCTCATCTCAAAACATGACGTTGAGGTGTGCATTCACATCTTCGTAATTTATTTAACTGAATTCTATCAACTGGGGAAGAAATGTGGGGTCTTGACCATTAAAGTGCTCATATATTCTTTTCTTTCCAACAAGTGCAGGAAGCTATCGTGGAGGAGCAGGAGAGCCGAAAAGAGGAAAATATTCACTTGACTAGATTCCTGAGGGTTCTTGCTAACTTCTTAGCCCTATGCACGCTTGCTGGGAGTGGCTACCTCATCTTTTTTGTTGTCAGAAGATCCCAGAAATTTGCCCTGGAAGGTCTGGAGAACTACGGGTGGTGGGAAAGAAATGAAGTTCGTGCTAGCACATTTCTAAAATAGATGTGGTTTGAAACTGTTTTCCTCTACTATGCATGTTGCCTTTTTTTCCTGAGAATTTAAATACTCTGAGTGTGGGTGGTAAATGTCTAACAAAAGAATTGTTCGTGTGTCTCTGCTTCCTGCTTCATTAAAGTCATTATTCCTTGGTTGGTTCTTTCAAATGTCCCTTTGTATTTAGTTTTCATTTGAGGCCTTTACCTTTCCTCCTCTGTGCTCTTAAGATTGTTTTCCAGCCGCTCCATGGACTCACAAGATCTCTTTAAGGAGCCTTCTGTCCTGTTGCTTTCCTTCTGAGACTGGCCCAAGCAAAGATGACTGGTGTGTGGGCATATCCAAAGTTATTTGGGGCCTCATGGATACAACTTGGCAGTGCCGCAACAGGATGAAACTCATGCCTTCCAGTTCCAGCTGCCCAGTCCAAGAGTCCAATACCCTTTTTTGTGCTTAACGTGCCTTCTTCTAGAGCAGATGCAGCCCTGCCTGATAGACATGCATAGTGATAGTGATTGTGTTTTCTGTAACAGTGTGCAGCAAGCACCTGAAGTCAGTGTTGCTATATGGAAACCTAGGCAGGTTTTACTTTCTTAGCAAAGACACTGCTGTGTATGTTGTAAAATTAGCTGTTTGTTCCTTAAAGCTCATCATCTGAGCTGGAGTGTAAAGTAGATACCCTATTTAAAGTAAGGCAAAAAGATGCTAGCTTCACAAAGCTGCTGGGGTGGGTTATGATGGAATGAAGAAAGTCAGTCCTTAATTTTCAACACCAAAACCTGACTGAGAAAGTAATGTAAAAAACTCCAGCAATCCACCTCTGCAATCCAGAGAAATAGGGTTGTTGAGATTGGGTTAAGTTACTTGATAAAAGTTATTACATTGTGATCTGATGGGAAAGAAAAGTCATGTACAAAACTGCTTGACTTAAAGCAACACAGGCTCTTAAGTGTGACAACAGACTAGCAGATGAAGACAGTTCAGGAGGAATTCAGCTTTTTCTCAGTTGAAAGGTGTGGTAACAGATTTGTACTAACAAGAACTGTCCTACTGAAAGCTATTATATCAGCTTATGCTGCAATCTGGAAAGCACTTAAACATGCATGTTTATATTCATTGTTTTACTTTTGTTTGCTTTACAAAAAATAGTGCTAAGGAAACTCTATCACAGAACTAAGATCTGGAGCAGGTGTGTCTCTAAAGGAGAGTGGATAAGGTACCATTGCCATTATTTGGCTAAAGAATTTTCCCTATTGACAGGTAATGAACATATTTGTGAGGTACAAAATATTGCCCTTGATTGCATATTAATATTTAATTACATAAATATATTTGGCTTCTATGTAACAACCATTTAAATTATTTTCTAGATCAAGTTCTCTTGTGTTTGTATCATTAATAAATGAACAGAGATTTTGATCAGAAAAAAAAACCATAAACACTTAACATACTACTTAGAGCAAATGAAAGTGCAGCTCTTACATACAATTCAAGCAACAGTACGTAAAAATTGACATTCTTCATAAAAATATTAAGCTCCTTTTGTAAGAAATTTCTTTTCATCGCACTGGATGTATTAAGGGATTAAAAATATTTACAAGTGATTATGGTGTCCTTGGAGCAATCCAAGGTAAATATATTTTATATCATCTGTTCCTGAAGCTCACAGCCTAATTAAGTGCCACTGGTGACTTTGTGGACAAGATCTTTCTCTCTCTGACTATCTTCCTCTGTCATAATCTTGTAAATTTTTAAACTCCCTCTCCATATTGGCAGTACGTAGTTCTGTCAGATCACAGTTCAGATAAAGCTGTCTATTGTGTCATGGAGAGCAGGAAATTAGTGGAAACAGGCAGACTGGGACTGTTAAGGGATTTTATCAGCCTTCTCATCACTCCTCATACATACCTGTGGCCTGGTGGTTGGTCATGGATGAATGATGATTCTGCACCATGTGACAATTTCCCCATGGCTGTGGAAATTTTGGTAAAATGGAAAATAATGTCACTGATTCCCTTATTAAAGTGTTCTGAAATAGAATGAATTGCTGAACAAAATGAACCTTCCTCATTTGATAGAAGATAGTTTGCAGAGCTAGAAGACAGCATGAGCATCTTTCTGGTACAGAGGTACCCTGTTTTCTCAAATATATTCCTGTGCTGTTTAAAAATAAAGCTACTTAAAAGCAGAGAAAACTTACGAGGAGACACACGGATTTCTCTGAATCAGAAGCATAACTACATTTGGGCAAAGAGGAGATGAGTTTTACACATCAATTTTTTTTTCCAGCAACAAAAAAGTATAGCTTTACCATTTCAGGTCTTGCAAGCATAAACAACGCCACAAACCTTTTGCCAAAAATATCCTGCTATTTACTTTAATATTCCTAGTAGTCGGTATGGAGTACATTTATACTGAAGTTATTAAGCCATGTTGTAAATGCTCTGTTTAATTCTAGAAATCATCAGGCAACTTTTATTAGTATGAAATATAATTTCTAATTTTAATTTTGTTTTAAAAATGAAACTGTATCTACTAGAAAAATAGGTCTTTATTAGTACTTTCTGCAGCAGATGCTAGACAAATCTATAACTACTGCAATCATTATTAGTGGATGATATGATTTATTTTAGCTAGACTACTTACCCTTAATAAACTTATCATTTAATCAACAAGCAGTCAGTGTTCAATATTTAATGTTGTGTTGGCACAGTTTAATATGCCAGGGGGCTGGTGATTATATATGACTGCAGTCACAGGATTTCTTACCAGATTCATAGCAGCTGGAAAAGCTTGTGCAAGCAGTAATTTTCTAGCTTTCAGAGAGTAACACAGGGACTTGGTATGTGAAGTAGTTAATGTCACAGAGAGATAAACAATTTTGTTTTGAACCAGAATTTTAATAATTAGTGGGTGCCTCTTGGTTGTTATTCCTTTCTTAGGGAAAATTCTGTCTCAGTAGGGTAGAGAGGGTTTTTGAGATTCACTCAGCAGATAGTGAGTATAAGACCACTTTGGTTGTCATAACTCTACCATGTATGCATGCTGCTCCTCTTCTGGCATATCATTCCACAGTTTTTAAGTCACACAGAGCAGTGAAATTGTCACTGATAAAAACAGGGGAAGAATTTTTTTTTTTTGAAATATAGAACCCATTATAGTTTTTGGATTTTGAAAACTCAATGTGCTACATTTTGTCTCAGTAAAACATTGCATTTGTGGCTGTAATAATTTCTCAGTTTTCATCTCTGCAAGTTTCCGTGCCTCATTTCACCTCTTATCTTAATAATGTCTTTTCTCCAGAATTAGAAATGCTCCTGAGACAGGGAGCATGAATAGTCAAGGCATGGAAAAATGCAGATAGAAAGCAAATGAGAAAGAATATGCTTGCTTCAGATTAAGTGGTAAAAAAGGCAGAACACAGTAAAAATATAGAAAGTATTGAATGTTCAAGAGAAAGAAAAGCAGTGACTTCTATCCTGCCTCTCCCATGCAGCAATAAGGAAACTTTCAATAAAGTTAGCAGGTACTATATTTAAAACTGCTCAAAGGACATACTTTTTCCAAAATACATATTCACTATGTTTTCTAGTATGAAAACTAAGGGACATCAAATGAATTGAGTAGAAGCCAGGTTCAGAAAAAGCAAAAGGGAAGGAATGGTAGATGGTGGGTGCCAGTGCTATGAATGCCAAAATTTACATTCGTTTGAAGGAAGACTGATCTAAAGCATGAAAGAGAAATTCCCTGGGGGTTACTGGATACATAAAAAACACACCTGACTGAACAAGTACCCAAACTGAATATAGTTGGAGTTTAGGACTTATTATTCATATAAGTTTCCCCTGCTCTTGCTCATCCCTGGGAATCTGTTGGGCTAGGCCAACCTTTGGTGTGACCCAGGACACCTCCTCTTATGCACACATTTGCACCTGGGACTTGTTGTTGCAGGAGGACAGGAGACACCAGAGTCAGTGAGGATTCTGATTTAAGATTCAGCAGTATCACAACAGAACTGAGCATTTCTATAGATAAACAGGATATACAGCCTGTTACAATAAGTTTGAGTTTTAAGAACTCGTGATTGGTTGTGTTGGCTGTAGTTGACTCCTGCAGCTTTACCATCTTGGGCCATATTGGGCATGAAGTCTTTGGTTTAATGGTGACTGAGACAATATGTGTTATAAACTATGTTAGTTACTTCGAAGACTTTAAGATAAGAAAGTTTGCATAGTTCATTATGAAGAAAAAATAACCAATGTTTTGATCACCAACATCTCATCACCTTCCAGAGGTACCAAAAAATAGGAATATCCACAATTTTCATAAGAGAGAATTTATTCAAAGCATTAATGTATGAAACCCAACACAGCTGTTAATATAATAAAGTAAAAGGTGTCAGGAGATTCAAATATAAATTCCACTTTTTCAGTTATAAACCCAAGTGCTGCAAGGGATGATAACTACAAGTTTTTGGTTGGTTGTTCCTTTTTTGAGTGTTATGAGGTAACAGTGACTTCTTGTTATTTTAACAAGGTAATCACAGTTACAGATAACACTATCTAAATACATAGTAAACATCAGTGAATTCCTGTAATCATTAAAAAAATTCTACATACTTCTTACAGGGTACCACAAGCCATGCACAGAATGCGCTACTGGTTGCCTACAAATGCAAAAATCCAGTAATTAGCTCTAGAACTCATTAAAAACCAAGAACAGAGAAAGAGTAAAACAAAAGCCATTTATTTCTTTTCATTAAGAACACCAGTCTCATAGATTAAACTTTGGGAATGTATGTATTTGTGAGTGAATTTATTTGTTGTCATAGTGTCTTTCTGCTGCCATATTGTTTCTGAGAAGCAAGAGCAGGCCTAACTCTCTTGATAACAGAAAGTTAGAAATTTATTAAAATTTATAATAGTTCTAGCAAAGTGGATTCCAGCATGGCTCAAAAATGCTAGTTTCAGAGCAACCAGAAGACTAGAGTTCTGTGAACAATTACATTTTTTTGTGACTAAATCTACTATTTTTACTTAATTGTTTTAATATGATTCATCTCAAATAAACATCTTTGTGTTTTCCAACTACCTTTGTGACTTAGATTGAGACAATGTTTTCTGTTTCTTGTTTGTTGTTTTTAGTCCCTCTAAGACACAGTTTTTGTAATGCAATTTTATTTTAAATTGAAATTGAACAACTGCACTCTTAAACTTTTTAAATTATTTTCATTTTTGGCTGACACAATGAATTAGAACCAAAAAGTTCAAGCAGACTTGAAACAATTTTCAGCAATCACTTAGGAATGTGTTTGCATTACTAGAATGCCTCACTTGACTGTAGAATTCATAAGCTATGTTGTATTTCAAACTTTCTATAAAAACTTTTTTGCTTTCAGTAAACTTGTTCCATTTCCATACTGCTCAGATGATGTGTTAGTCTTATTAAAGGTTTCTAAGAAAATCAGGCAGAAAGAAGCAGCGTTGATTCCAATTTGCTTATGCAGTGAGAACATGAGATCTGGATAGACTAGAGAGCTGGGCGATCACCAACCTTATGAAATTTAACAAGAGCAAGTGCCGGATTCTCCACCTGGGACAGGGTGATCCTGGTTATAGGTACAAACTGGGGGACAAGAGGCTGGAGAGCAGCCCTGCGGAAAGAGATCTGGGGGTTTGGGTTGATGGCACGTTGAATATGAGTCAACAGTGTGCCCTGGCAGCCAAAAGAGATGACCATGTCCTGGGGTGCATCAAGCACAGCATCGCTAGTTGGTCAAGGGAGGTGATTGTCCCCCTCCACGCTGCACTGGTGTGGCCCCACCTCAAGCAACTGTGTGCAGTTTTGGGCACCTCAATAGAAGAAGGACATCACGCTGTTAGAGTGTGTCCAGGGGAGGGTGACCAAGATGGTGAAAGGCCTCGAGAGCAAGGCTTACAAGGAGTGGCTGAGGTCACTCGGCTTGTTCAGCTTGGAGAAGAGAAGGCTGAGGGGTGACCTCATCACAGTCTACAACTTCCTCAAGGGGGCAGCAGAAGGGAGGTGACCAGTGGTAGGACACGAGGAAATGGAATGTAGCTGCATGAGGGGAAGTTCAGATTGGACATTAGGAAAAGGTTCTTCACTGAGAGGGTGGTCGGTCACTGCAACAGGTTCCCAGGGAAGTGGTCATGGCACCAAGCCTGTCAGAGTTCAAGGAGTGTCTGGATGACGCTCTTACGCATATGATTTAGTTTTAGGTAGTCCTGCGAGCAGCAGGGATTTGGACTGTATGATCCTTACGGGTCCCTTCCAACTTGAGATATTCTGTGATTCTATGATTTTGTGACATCTACAATTAAGTTTGGTTGAGATCTCAGATAAATTTAATTTAGTGCAGTATTTTTGTAGGAATGCATTTTATAGAACATCTGTGTGTCTATTAGGAAGATGTGGTAGAGATGTAGCATAAAACAGTACTAGAAATAGGTTTTTCTAAGTTCTCTGATAGTAGAATTTTGGTTAAAATGTAGGTTCTAGTCAGAATAACTAACATTGGATTATTTTGGATGTTTAAGTGAAATGTAAAATTAAAAAAAGATCTCATATATCTATCTGCAGTAGGTTACAACTGACTTTTCATCCCTTTCTTCCTTTGTGAAAACATCTTGTGACTCCCAGAGTGGATTTTGTTTTTCATTAAATCAAAAACTAAATAAAAAGTAGTAATGGAAATATACCCTTCACCCAAATCAGTAATAATAAATGAACTCGCCTCTAACATTTCACTGCAAACTACTTTTTTTTTTTCTTTTCCCCCTCTCAGGTGAACATGGTTATGTCACTTTTAGGGATGTTCTGTCCAACTTTATTTGATGTAATCAGTTCTCTGGAAAACTACCACCCTCGGATAGCTCTAAGATGGCAGCTGGGACGAATCTTTGCTCTTTTTCTTGGCAATCTCTACACTTTCATTATCGCCCTAATGGATGAAATCAATCTCAAGGCAAGCTATTTACTTCCCTTCGCTATTTTTAATATGTAGCTGGGCAAGGATGAGGATTTCCAGCCAGTCACAGACATGTCAGCGAAAGATGTTCTTTTCTTTCTGTATTCTGAATCACGTGCATGCCTGAGCTGGTAATGTGAGTTTTGGAGTAGAAAATGTTGAGAGTTGGTAACAAGCTCATGTCTCTTTTTCCCAATTTGTTTCTTTACTTAGTTGGAAGAAGAAAAGATAGTCAAGTATAACATGTCAATATGGGAAGCCAGTCTGTACAATGGCACTATTCCAGAAAATTCGACTGCTCCTCCAATACAGGTGGATCCTGCAGATGTCCCCAGAGGGCCGTGCTGGGAAACAATGGTAGGACAGGTAATGTAACTGCTTTGAACTCATAACTGAAAATAGATCATAGTCTGTTACAGGATATGACATCTAATCCCTCTTTAATTCTTCTAATAAGTGGCATTAAGGTGGGAAAACATAACGAAAAGCAAAAGTGGGACTTTTTCCTCAGCTAAAAGGTTGAGAAAAAATTATTTGAGTTTCTTTGGACCCTGTCTAGTAGGGAATTCTTTCTCCTGGTAATCGACAGCATGAAAGCATTTCTTTTTTCCCTCTCCTTTTCACTATTCTCTTCATTTACTTTCCTCTTCCTCTTTCCATCTTTGTCTTGCATAACCTGTTTAGCAATTTTGGAAAGTTGGATTCATCACAACCCCTAATAAATGTGGTAATTCTGATTAGAATTTTGATCAAGCAATATCAGTTTCTGACTACAATGGACCTATAAAAAAGATTAAAAAAGGAGTAGCTCAACAAGGAAATACGTGTAAGATAGCAGCATGCTTTTGAGAAGGCATCTCTGTCTTTAGCCAAGTAACATAATGCAAAAGAACAATAGTCATTTAATGGTAAATCTGCTTAGTCATTTTATTTGATTCAGTTAAACATTTATTCGTATTGACCTATTAGTATAAAATGTCATTTCCAAATAATTTTCTAGCATCCCCGTTTCCTCTATTTGATCATACCCCATTGTTGTTGTTACTTTGGGCATGAGAATGAATTCACCACTGAATCACAACTTTTGCTGTTGCTCCATCACTCTGACAATCTCACTACCTGACTGAATAAATCACCAGCAGGGAGCAGACAGGCAGGAAAAACAGCCCCTCTGTTCTTTTCACTCATGCTGAATAATAAGCTAAGAACACCAAGTGCTCATCACTGCACTAATTTTCTCCTTAACTTCAGATCAGGGAGAATAACAGTCTTTTGGGCTATTGGGGTAAGGTCTATTACAGTAGGGTTGAGTGGGATTTACTAAAATTACAGTAGAGGAATGAGGATTTCCATTAGGATTTTCTTCTTTCCTCTCCTTATTCACTGAGAGTTGGTGCTCCTTGAGAAAGCAAGCCATTCACTTTTCTTTTTTTTTTAAATCTTTCCAAAGTCAAAGGGATCAAAACCAGTTTAAGATATCAGCTCAGATTTCTGTTATAGTAGCAACCTTGGCTGGAAGCCTTTCCTAATCTAATCATACCCTGGAAGTCTCATCTGATAATATGAGCACAAATTAGAGTAAAGGATACCTCTAGCAAATGAAAGGCAGTTTTTCTCCTGGCATTTTTCAGAATCAGTGAATGTAGAAGAGGAGTAGAGTCTTTTCCATGTTGAAGCAGGGTAAGCACAACTAGGGATCCAGTCCAGTATTTCATTATTATGTAATTATTAATTGTTTAAATATATTCTTAAAAGAAAATATTGCTCTAACAGGAATTTGTGCGGCTGACAGTCTCTGACACGATGACAACATACATCACAATTCTAATTGGCGATTTCTTGAGAGCTGTCTTCGTTAGGTTTTTCAATTACTGCTGGTGCTGGGACTTGGAGTATGGATTTGTAAGTGTCTGATTTGCTATTTTAAATGTCTTTGTCAGATTAACACTTCACATTTTTGTAGTAAATTACGTTTTTCTTTCAATTGTACAGACTTAACAGTTGGCTAGACTTATCACCTGCAAAATCCCTAGACAACATAGTGTTAGTTTTTCTCATAATTTTCTTATGCCTGAATATTTGTCATATTCTTTAGACTTTGGTAACTTTAGGAAATGTTTGGTTTTTGTTTTTTTTTTTTTCATTTGATTGTATAAGAAAACCGGGTCCACATTTTTCACACATTTATGATTTGAAGACTCATTCCCTGTTCCACAGAATAAAATCTCGTTGATTTTTATGTGATTTTGGATAGGGTCTTCTAGCACACAGTGTTTGTGGAGAAAAATATGAAAGAACACGTTCTAGAAATCTTTTTTTTTTTTTTTTGATAGAATTAGTTTAGCTGAAATAAAGTTAGTAAGTCCCATCACATAAGTGTGTGTAGAGCTCTTAACTTGGGAGTTGAGACTTTCACTGTTTTACACAGGTCTGAGCTAAGTTAACTTAGCCAGCTAAGATATCTACACTGTAAGATCTGATGCTGCTTTTTCACCTGTTAAGTAGTAGTCAGGGTACTGGCAAAGCTTGTGAAGCTCCTGAAACCTCTTTTGTACTTACTGAAAGGTATGGAAAAGAGCTAAAAGTCATTTAAAGCTATATCTTGGGTACCTCTGCATGAGCACCCATTGTAGCTGTTCCTTTTGTCCTCCTTTTCTCAAAACTTTACCTTTGTACATGTACAAATTTCTTGTTTTACTAAAAGTAGCCTCTCAGGAAATGATAATTTTCCAGAGGAAGATAAAGTTTTGGTGTTTTCTATAGAAAAAAACAATTTTCCAGTATAGCAATCTCATTGCTATTGGCTGGCTCTTATGAAATTTCAGCCTTTATAGCAAGGTTCAGGTTTCTGCTTGTTAATTCTGTGTTCTGTCTCAAACAGGACTGGTGTAGGGCTGGAGACAAAGACTACCAGCTGTCCAGGTTGTGGACAAACAAGTTATAACCCTTGCAATATGAAAATCACATGCAGGAATTTGAATACAGCATGGGCAGAGAGCTGGCACAGCTTGTGGAACCATGTATTTTCCTGTACTTAAATTGCAGCTGGAGCTTCCTCACATTTTCATATGTTCAACAGCCATCGCAATAGCTAAGGCTGGATGTGGGGAGCACATGAATCACTGTAACCAGCTCTACGTCTGACACAAAATAGCTCAGACATCATATTTTCCAAAGATGTTGAAATGATAGCCTGGATTTTTCCCTCTCCGGATATCCACGATCAATGGAAGAGCCTGAAAGAATGCAAGCCTGAAAGCCATTTTGAGCACTGTAGGACAGATTTTTCACCTAGAATGACTTGTCTTCCTTTTGGGCTTCCTAAAGCCTCTTCTGTCTTGCTATTTACTCTGAATCAGCTGCCTTTTATGCAGGACTTCTTGTTGCATGACCAGCCCAACCGCAGGTGCCTAGTGCTATTTGAGATGACCCTGGGTATCCAGAACAGCTGGATGGTGCTACTAGACATATTTATTGTGAGATCCCTGCAGTCTCCCAGTGTTGGGAGCCACACAGTGAACTGTAGGTCTGCTTGGCTTGAACTGGGAGTGCCAGTTGTAAAGTCAAGACAAATTCATTCATCCATTAACACTTCAGATTTAATTTTTGCTCTTTATTTTTTGTTACCATTAGGGATGTCAATGGGATATAATACAGTAATTCAATCAATAGAACAGAGCCTGTAAAGGAAAGAACTTAATTAAGGGTCTGAACTAAAGTGCTGCACAGATACCATCCTTCTTTCTAGCCTTTCATCCATATACAAAGTAAAGAATGTAGAGAGAGGCTATAAGCAGCAAGAGTGAACCTCACAGGCCACACACAAGGGCTTCAGCACTGTTAATGGAAGCTGTGTCATGTTTATCCATCAATGAGGGGCCACTTATTTCCATGATATATTATTGTTCTCGAAGTGTCAACAACACATCTGCTGGTAGGTGATGCTGAAACCAATTTATTATTCATATTTTTATTTGGCAGTATATAAAAATGGCTATAATGGTCCGGTCCATTATGGTCCTCAGGTCCAGTAAGCTGCCTAAAACAACAGTCAGAAGAGGAATTGCAAACTGGAAATCATTAAATTTCTGGAAATATCTGAGCTTAAAATCTTCCCTAGGAAGTAGCTATACCTGTGTCTCTGTGGTTAGTGGTCATGAGGTACCTATCATCCATTAATTTTTACACTTTTTTTATATCCTAAATATTTTTGACAACCAAAATATCCTTTGGCAAGGAATTCCAGAGATTAACTTGCATGTTGTGTGGAAAAACACTTCCTTTTTTGTTTAAAAATTAAATTTCAAATTATTTTAGTTGTTAATGCTAGCCCCTATGTTATGAAGAACAGTCACACATTATTTGATTCTGTATGATTCTACTCATCTCTCCATGTCACTTATGATATTCTGTCCCTCTATACAGCTCTCCTTAGTCAACTGCTTTCCAGGTTGAATACTACTGATCTATTTAATCTTTCCTCATATAGAAGCAAATTCATAAATACATGCAACATAAATACAGCAGTTTGTTGTAAACATATACATATATATCTGTACATATACAAAAAACTACACAGAAAGAGTAAAAAAAGAGTGTAGGGGCTCCAAATATTCCAACAATCTAACATAGTACAATTCAAAATTGTGACTTTATTTGCTGACTTTAATAGAATAACTTTGTCTTGGTTCAGCCATAAGGGAATAGTTATTTTTGTATCTTTTGCCCCTTCCTCTCTCTATTAGTCATCCATGTAATTTCTTACCAGAAAGTTTTGTTCCGGTGCATATGCACACAAGCTAATATGTATGAGTGTATTTCAATTGTCGCTCAAATGCAGTGCATTCAGTGTTTGCAGATGGAAACATTCATGAATTAGAGACTAATAAATAGGGTAAAAGAAGAGATGTGGAAATGATTAAAGATTTGGAAAAACAGAATGAAACGGCCAGATGAATAGTTCAGAAATATAAGAATAAAGAATTATTGGTTTATGGTATTTATGCGTCTATACTGGAAAAAAAAAAATATGATACTGTGCTTTCTTCAGCAGACAAAGCAATAATGAGACCCCATGGTTGAACCTTGAAATAAAAATTAGAATCAAACCCACTCAAACTAGAAATAAGATATTCATATTAAGCAGGGAAGACAATGATTGGCAACATCTATCAATGCTTAAAAAGAATTCCTCAACAGCATAACTATTAAACCTAAAATATGAAAGATAGTGTTATAGTTCAACCAGGAATTAATCACAGCAGCCTCATGGCTTGTACTGTATTGGAGGACACATTAGA